CTTCCTAAGGAGAGGGCTAACTTTGTTAGTCTTTGCAAGGTAGCTTGTGATTTATGAAAGCTGTGTCCCGTGCATCACTAACCCCATAGTAAATCAAACCAAAAGGCATCTCAAGAAGTCAGTATTTGTTTTCCCTCTTTTATAAAATGTTAAATTTTTATGGGTGTTTTTGCAAATTTGTTGAGAAAAGCACTACAAGTACTGAATTATCCAGACAGTTATCTTTCACTGTTTTTCCTCAACAAATTACTTTCCCTGTTGACTGCAAAAAAGTTTATGCACTATTTCTGGTGGCAAAGAAGCTCACTTAGAGGATGGACTGCTTGTTCCCCCAGAAGACTGTTGGACATCCATAGGAAAACTATGGGGTTTTAGCCCATGTGGTGGCCTGTGCCACTCTATGTGCTTTACATAAAGCAGGGGAATCCCAGTACATACTGGGTGGTACTGAGAGTGGGGAGGGGATTACTTCTCAGGGTCTCTTCCCTGCCAGTCTTGCTGCAGCACCCCAGTTGCAAGTGGGAACAGAGGATGTTCTTTCAGCCTTTTCTCAAGGCCTTTCTGAATTGTTTTTGTCAAAGTGAACTGCAAATGAAACCCAATTCAGCGCTGTGGGCTCTGGTTTCTTTTCTTCTGGTATTTTCTTATTTTAACAATCATATATATAGGCTGAAGTATTTTGAATAGGAAAAGCTTATTTGACCCTTCCTAACTGTCATTTTTGGTCTCAAAAAGAGGTGCTGCTGTGACTGATGATGGCTCCTTTGCTTGCTATACAAACCCATACGTGCAGTCTGTGTTTCTGTTGAAGCACAGGTTTATCTCTGGAGATAATCAAAAGCCTGCATCATCCTTAAAAAATGCCTGTTTCTGATGCCCCCCTCCCCCCACAGTTCCTGGGATTTTCGGCAGAGGGACATCCCCTTTAAACTTGCATTTCTGCCTCATATCTTTTCTCTTTGAAGCCAGAGGGTTGGCTGGCCTCTGAATAGACAAGGATGAGAATACAGCAGTGGGAGGTCCATGTCTTGCTCATAAACCTTGGGCAGAAAATCAGCTCCGACAAGTGGGGACAGGTAGCAGAGTCTTCCCCCTTATCAAATGGCTCAGCAGAGCAGACACATTCCTGCACGAGCCGTGGAGGGGTGGAAGGTGTGGGCTCCTGGCTGTGCCTTGCTGCTCTGCCGTCTGCTTCGCCCTGGGAGCTGCGTGCCACTGACTTGATGTAGAACTGTGTTATTTCTGTACAAAACACTCTGTTCTCTCATCATCCCTGCCCCTTGGGTGCTGCTTTTGATGTTTTCTTTGGGTTTCTCTTCCTTGGGCAGAAACCAGAGAAAATGTTTATCTGTGGTTCCAGTGCTTGGGGACTTTTGGAGGTGCCATGCCATTCTTTTGCACCTCGGTATGTTGTACTGCATGGCTTGGTGTGGCCCAACTTTTTCCAAGGGGAAAGCTTTTCCCAGTCCTCCTGCTAAAACAATCGTCATTAGTGCTAATTGGGCAGGTTTGGGATTAAATCTGCAAAGATTGCTTGGGTTTGGTAAATCCTCTGCCACTGCAAAGCAGATAATGCTAAACAAAAGATTGTCTTGATTAGATTAAAGTTGGCAAATTCATTGCCCTAATCATGATATTGCCCTTCCCGTGGCTATTCAGGAATACATCACCGTAACTTACTTGAAGTAATTGAATATAATTGTCTTTTTAACTCGTATGTGTAAAACATCCATCTTTGTTAACGGCGTGTGTTGCTGTCCTGCTGCCAGCTCCCAGTCCTCTTCTGGAGGGGTGGGAACAAGAAGCAGAGCCAGGCTGACGTTTATGAATTGGTAGTTGATTGCCTATAAAACGATTCTTTATTTCTGACCAAGCACCTGGAAGAGAATAAAAAGGAACAGCACCAGTCACTGGAGCCCATAGGCTTGGCTGGTGCTCCCAGGCAGGGAAGCAGAGGAGAAGTCATGAAGTGGGACGCTGCAAGGGACTGTCACCAAAAAACAACCCTTCCCCTCACCCTTGGTGGCAGCAAAACACAGAGCATGTGGTAGGGTTGGAGATGGAAGCAGCAGTGTGAAACAGGTGCCCAAAGCAGACGCATTGCTGATCCTCCCATGGGCCAAATATGTTGAAATGTTAAAAACAAACCAAAATTACTGGTGGGAGGGAGGAAGTTCATGGAAATTTTTCTTCCATTAATAATCAGAGGTGCGAGGAGGGAGAAATTCTCTTCACGTGTCAGTTTTGTACCAACAGATAGCTAGGAAAGGAGGCCAGGCAGCAAACACCCTGTGTTTTCTATTTCCCAGCTCTCCCAAGTGACAGGGAAAGACTCCTTTAGCACAAAAATTTCCAATATTATCTCAGCAATCAATCATGTAGAAATGCAGTTACAAAATAAAACATAACTGTCCTGGCTCCTTAAGAGCTTCAATTTGGGCTATTTTTCTCAATAGGTTTATAATTTTTTGTATATTAAACTGTTCTAGGGAATGGACCAAAGGATTAGGATATGACCCTCTGTGTAATTAAAACATGACCACCATGGCCAACAGTTTCAGCCTGTGTCAGCTCACACTTTCCTCCACTTTGGGGGTTAACTCAGTCCTGGACCTGTCCATTACAGGCAGAGTGCCACTCTGTTTTGAGAGATTGCTAAACGTCACCTATAGGGATGCCACCAGTGTGGCTCTGGGCTGGCCCCTGGACCAGAGAAGTGTTCCTGCTCCTTTGAGCTTATTTGTATGGCATAAATATGGAGTAAGTACTGCAGGAAACCCAGTCTAGGGGCTCAGGTTGGAAGACATGTTTGTGTGATCTCGCACTGGGCATCTGTGCAGGGACAGTTGATTTAGGGAGCATCTTTTTTATGTGATGATGTAAAAGCTCCTTGCCCCACTCCCTCTGGTCCTCATGGCAGCCATGGGTTGTGGCTGTAGCTGTAGCTGTGGCCAGGGGACAACAATTTCCCCAGGGAGGAAGACAGCAACTTTAGGTGCCAGCCCAGGCAGGAGTTTGAGCTGAGCATGGTTTGGGAGACCAGAGGCAGTGCAGTGCTGTGTGAGTGGGGGATGGGGTGTGACAGCTGAACTCTGCTGCATTTTTGACCTGGAAAAACACTGGTTGCCTCTTAAAATGAAGACTCCTTACAAGTGTCCTTATGTAACAGATCATCCCTACCAAGGACGGTTAAAGGGTGAATCTTCCTTCTGTCAAAGCAGATCCTAAAGGATGCAAGTTCATTCTCTCCCTGAGCTGCTTTTGGGAGAGGAGGGGAGGGGAGCAGAAGCGGGGGAGGTGGTTAACAGTTACTCTACTGTGTCCTGACATTAGGCGAGCTGCAAAAATGCTCCCAGTGTATCAGGTAGTGTGAGGTGCCAGCCCTTCGCTGGAGCACGGAGAGCAAGTCTGCTGCAGAGTCTTAAATACTTTCCACCCCAACTACCTTAGCTTAACGCCTTTCAGCAGAGTTGGCAGGAGGGTTGTTTTTGTGTAGTCTCTCACCTCTCCCGGCAGCCTGGCTGACGCGCCTGTGCCATACTGTGCTCAGGGATTGTACATTGCAATGGGAGTAGGAGCCTCAGATCCTCTTGCTGATATGCCGGGAAAGACGTATATGAGGATTACACGCAGGCTTCGCGCGACGGACCTGAGAGGAGCACAGTCCCACAGGACAGAGTCAGCATAGCCCTGTTGCAGCTGGAGTCACAGATGCGAAAGGCTGAATTTAAAGTCTTTCATAGAAAAAGAGTTTGGCGTTTACTGGAGTTTGCTGAGCATCAGCGAGAGACTTGGCCCAAGCCTTGACACTTTGGTTTTGGATGGTGCTTCCCCACTCTACAGAGAGATGGTACCTTTCGCAGAGGCAAGTCACAGTGAAATACTGAGCACAAACTGGGTTTTGAAAAGCTCACTTAGGAGGTTGGTTTTGTTTTGCTTTTAGTCTCCAGTTAGACAGAAAGGCCAGGAAGCCAGAGAAATAATGGGAAAACCTGCAACAATATTAAGAAATCTATAATGAAGATCTTCTGACTGTGAAGGCACAGCAAGACCAGCCTTTTATCTTTAAGCTGATGACTGGCAGAAATCTAGAAAGGGTCATCTTTACAGATGCACCGAGCCCTATCAGAGGGTGATTGTATGGTATCGCTGTCGCGATTGTATGGTATCGCTATCGAGGCTCTGCTAATTGTATTTCTTTAGCTTCTCTAATTTTAGCAGAAAAGGCCCAGGCGGCCAGGCAGCATTGTCGGGGGTGGCGGGGAGAAATAACCTGATGAATTTTCCATCAGCTCAACTCACTCAAATATTCTTGCCGTTAACTTTTGGGGTCAATAATAAATATTAAAACCTGTAGATTTAATAAGTCAATGTAGGTGTTCGCTGCCTTTTGAGACCACTTTATCTTTCCATCAAAGATGAAACAAGCTTCTCAAATGAATAAAAAATAGGGCCTCAAGTGATTACAAGTGAGAGCAATTTGGGCTCCTCTCTCAGAACCTGGCAGTAGGCACTTTTGAGCCTCTTCTGACTGCCTAGACATTCCGCATTAGCACTGCTCTTGCTGTTATATTTTTAGGTAAATATTTCCAACTTGTGTGTACAGACCTTCAGGAACGGTGTGCGCTGCCACTCCAGGCTTGAGGGACGATGCAGGTCTGGATCCCACCAGGCTCTGTTGAGTCTGATTTGCGTTGCAAGTCTAGTTTTCCTTGGTGCTTGCTATAATCTCCTCAAGTTCAAAGAGCGCTTAGCTGCTTGTCTTTGTCAAAAACCCTGTTGGAGATCTTTTATGTCGAAGATGTAGGATTTCTCCGCATGACTTTGATTATTTATTCATTCCACTTCTCTGGTGTATGATAGCGCTGATATCATGAAGACCCCTTGTCTTGCACTGCTCTTGCTCTGAAATTCATGGAGATTTAGTGCCTTTGAAATTGTTTTAAAAGGGAAGGAAAAGTTTTTGAAGTCCCTTTTTTTTCTTCTATTCCCCATAACAGTGCCACAGCACATTTTTCCGGCCTTCCACGCTCCTTTGCCAATTGACATGCGCCACCAGGAAGGACGATACCATTACGAACCTCACTCTATCCACGCTATCCACGGGTAAGTCTTCCACCTTCACTCCCATGCCTTGCTAAAACATCAGCCACCTGCAGTATGCCAAATCCCACTGCTACAGTCCCAGGGACTTACTGCCCTTCTGGCAAGCTGGCCCTATGGACCACCCTCCCCCTCATTGTCCCCATTCACTGACAATGCTGACCTGCCTGGCAGGAACATTTTACAGCTCTGTTAAGCCTATAGAAGTGCCCTGTATCAGCAGAATGGGAGTTAGGGCTTCTTTGTCATTATCCAGCTCATGTCCCAAGAACTGCCTTGACTTGTGTTTTTGCACCCACCGTGTTTCTCACATCATGCCTTGCCTGGGTCTTTTCTGGCACCATCTTGGCAAAGACCCAGCATTGCTTCCTCCCTTTGCAAACCTTATGTACCATTTCTCCCTGCCTGCTGGCTTGGGGGCCAGTGGCAAAAGGCCGTAGTTCAGTTTGATTTCACCAGACAACAACCTGAATGGGCTGGGTGGCATTTTCTAAAATGCAGTAATAAGTCAGGTCCTTGTATGGGTGTCCATGTCCACTCTGGAGGGCCAAGACTCTGCGTTTTGGTAGTCACCTTTTCATGAAAGCCTCCTCAGCCAAGCACAGGTGACAGTCAGGGGCTATAGCCCAAGAGGAGTGATCATGGTTAATCTCCTTGTCCAGGACATGACAGCTCAATAGTCCTTAGCGTCTTGAAAGAGACACTTATAGAAAGGTCTGGGTTCACCTCCTGTAAGTTTTGAGCCAGCAGGGATGGGAGCAGAGGTTGTAGTGACCCTATGGCTGGAAGGGTGTGCTGGTTCAACCGTGACAAAGGATTTCTTTTTGTCCCTGAAGTGCACCATCCCCGTGATAGGTGAGGAGCAGTGTGATGGGGTTGGTGGTCCCATGGCTGTCCCAAATTCCTTCAACCCACAGCTGTAGCACAGGGTGCAGACATTGCTGAGGGGCAGGTCCCAGAGCACTTGGTGACCAGTAAGGGAACATTTTGCAAGAAGAGCAAGGGAAGAACAACTAGGGCTCATCACTTAAAAAACTCTCATTTTATCCCGTGGAGCCCCATTGTGGCCTCACTGTCTGGCCAGGGTCAGTCACCCAGCTTTGCAGGGGCTGTTTGTAGAGCTGTGCTTTTTCTGGATAGGTGTGAGCAGGGGAACAGTCCCTGGGAGGCAAGTAATGCAGACAGCAGCGCAAGAAGAGCAAGGGAAGAACAACTAGGGCTCATCACTTAAAAAACTCTCATTTTATCCCGTGGAGCCCCATTGTGGCCTCACTGTCTGGCCAGGGTCAGTCACCCAGCTTTGCAGGGGCTGTTTGTAGAGCTGTGCTTTTTCTGGATAGGTGTGAGCAGGGGAACAGTCCCTGGGAGGCAAGTAATGCAGACAGCAGCAGCCAGGAGATCTGTGGAGTCCCACAGCTACCAGGACTTTATTCCACTTCCAAAATGCTGCGGGAAATAAATGATAGGGCATTCCCCTGGATCCTACCAGAAGGCAAGTCATTGTCTTTTTGGCTGGCAGTCAGTTTGACTGGATGTTTAAAGGGGCAGAGCAGCTCCTTCCATGCTGTGTGCAAAGGGGAAATGACAAAGCAGGTTGCTAACATGGGAATTGCGGGGGATAAAGGGGGGCTGAACAAAATAGTTCTGGTCTTGCATGCAAGTACATGCAAAAAATGTAGAAAAAAGAAGGTCAGAATAATGAAACAATGTACTGGGAGATAGTTAATAAGCCAGATCTCTCACTAATAAAGCACATACTGTCTTCTGAAAAGGGTAATATTCAAAACAGTGGTTAGAAGAAAGGATGGCAGATGCCCTGATGCTTGTCACAGGTTGTTAGTGTGCCCCACTAGGTGCTCCCCTGCACTGCTCACAAGGAGGACTGGGTGCACTGCATCTACCCTGAGTCTCCACAGCAGTTTTTTTGATGGAGTCATGAAAGGTCTTCTTCAAAACGCAACTGAGTGCTTTTCAGCTGATGCTGTGTATCTGTGAATCATAGCCCCAGTGATGGGAGCCAGTATTTTATTTTATCATATTGCGGTTGTCCATCTGATCAACCCTGGCCAAGTGTACAGCACTGGCAGATCAGGTTTCAGTTCATCTGCACTAATATTAATCACCCTGTTAGCAGTGATCACATTTGTCTATGAGTGGACCAAGGGTGTCCTGCTAAGTATTTGGGTAGAGTTGCTGGCAAATACCTATTGCCTTTCTTCTTTGGGATCCCTCACGTTCCCAGCAGCTCCTCTCACAATAACAGCTTGAGAGGTACTGGAGAGAAAACTTGGTTGCAGGTCTTAGAAGAGGAAACATAGTCTTGTTTGAAACTACCTGGACCCTGCACTGAAAAGTGCCTTTGTGGCCAGTAAAGCACCAAAGCCGAGCAGCCAAGTGCTTCTTGACTGTAATGGTTTTTTAGGGTCAAGGGAATGCCACTTCTATTTGACTGTTTTCCAAGCACCCTGCACTATGGCACAACCACACTGGGAAAATTCTCAGCAGCTGTGAAGTTAGTCTCTTGATTGTTTTCCCTCTTTATGTTTTATCTGCAAACATCTTAACCTCATGTCCTGCCCTTCCTCCACTAGGTTTTATTTTACTTCTATTATGCCTTTTTTCTCTCTCCTCTGGTCTCTGTTCTGAAGGTCATAACGTAGTGCTCACCCTCCTGACTGGATGATGTCCAGTGTGAAATAATCCAGAACATGTGGTAGACCTGGACTAGATCACATGTAGTGGTTGCCTGACTCTTGTTCAATACGGTGGATAGACTCTTTGGGCACTGTTGAGCCTCTAGAAATTTGTACTCCACCCTGATGGTGCAGAAACCAATCCTTGTTTTAAAAGTAAACAGCTCATATAATAATAATAAAATAAAAAAAAGAGACATGCATATTTTCACTCTAGAAAATAATGGCAAATGCTTGGAAGAAAAATTGTGTCACTGAGTTTTGGCTTTATGATTAATGTGATCAGTGCCTGATGGAGAGCCCCCAATTCATCACGCCCATATTCTAGCTGTCTGCTGTCTTGACGGTACCAAATTTATCTAATTACGTGAACATTGCACAGCAAATTAAGTGCAGTCTCATTTGTTGCTAACTATGGGGTCTTATTATCTGCCTGCTGCATTATGTCAAAGGTTTGTTTCCTGATTGCTTGATGTGACATGGCAGTGCATTCCCCTTCATCACTGTTTGCATTTGGCCTAATGAGAACATACATTATTTTGTCTTAACTGGAGGGAGCTCAACTGCAAAGCTCTCTTGAGCAGGACCACCTGTGGGACCCTTTTCTTAGGAACATAGATGAGCGTGTGGAAAACTAAAGTAATAAAAGCCCCCTGTGCCAAGACAGGCCAAGATGAGCCTGAAAGACTCTCCACATTTCTCCTCACTGTTGTCATTCATTATGTCTCAATGATTTCCCTGTTAAGTAGCATGACAAATAATTTTCAGGACTTGAGTCTTCTTCCAAATCACTGAGGATTTATTATATGTCCAGAAGCAGGTTATGCTTGTAGAGATTTTTTTTTTCAGAGTGGTTCAGTGTTTCTCCGGTCATTAGGACAACACACTTTTCTGTACAAACCGTTGTTTTTTACATATTTGGTGATGCATTTTTGGAATGTCTTTCATTTTTGGATATTATTTTGGTCTTAAGAACATTTTGACAGAATCATGGTGCTTGCTTGGCTTGTCTAGAAAAATGAAGTATCTCATTCATATCATCCTTGAGCTCTCTGCAGTGCAAACCAACAGGAGTATTGTGGATTCAAGGCATAACCCTGGATTCTGATGCTTGTGAGCTTGTGCTAATATGGAGGATGAAGGGAGAGGTAGGATTGGAGTCTGGTGGACATTGTAAAGGATGTAATGTAGAATGGAGTAAAACCAAATATGGAATTGTAGAATTGGAGTGGAATGAATAAATGAAATTGTATTGGTATATATAAATTGTATGAGGCACTACTTCCACTAAGTAACATTCATGTAGTAGTAAGTCGTACTACAGTACTCAAAAGCTAAGAAAAGACAGAAAAATAAATTCGGAGATTCTGCATTATTCTGGAGACGCTGCATCAAATTGCAGAGCCACATACTGTTTTTTCCTGGGATCTTCACTTCTTCCACAGCACAAGATGGCCCAGGCTCTGTGGTGGGTGTTATATGTTCTTTCGGCATGTTGCTTTTATTGATTTGTCAGAATTTCACTCTTCACAGGTGGTTGTAGGCAGAACATAGGTCAGTGCTGTTGTAGCCAAAGTCTTCAGCCAGGGTGTGTCTGCAGGTTCAAAGCTGAACGAGAGAAATCGACTCCATAAGTTAGGACAGGTCCTTTTCTAACGAAAGGGGTATTTTGTATTTTCATGAGCTTCTTCACAAAAACCTACTCCACTGGGGCCTAGTCGCTGTAATAACTCCATCTGCTTCAAACTAAGGGGGCTCAGCATCAGCTTTGCAACAGTAAACCCTTGACTACAGGGCAGAGCTGCTGGCAGATATGGGAGGTTATTCCCGATATCTCCCTTCCACTCCCCACTGTTCAGTGTGCTCAGCTATGCTCAACCCCTTTTTTTTTCAAAGCGCAACAAAAATAACTAAAAACTCCTTAGCTCAGCTTAAAAGTCCCTGCCAATGCAAGAGCCTTCAGGGCTAACCCTTGTAAACAGCATGCCTAGGCTTGACTCAGCAAGAAGCTTTTTAACAGTAGCTCCTAAACTGTGGTTAAAACCCATCAGGCATTACGCAGTGTAACAAACAAAAGCAGCCTTGTTTTTCTACCGACATCCGAGTGGTATTTCAGGATGCAGTTCTGACATTATTTATTAACAAAATATTGTTGTTGTTCTTGTGTCCACACATAAAAATAGTCAAAAAAAAAAAGCCCCAAAACCCTGAGCTGATAATCACAAATTCCATGGCTTTTATGAGGACTGAATAGTCCCAAAGACCTAAACATAGAGAAGACTATATCTCCATGATAATGTGGAGTTGCCC